ACACACACACACACACACACACCTCAATAATCCCTTCATGAGTTCTTGTTTAATAAAAACACTAAATTCTGAGTTCAGCATTTCCTGGTTTCTTTCTCTGACAGTAAACTGAAGATCTTTGGAGTAACAAACTCATTATCAGGGTTGTTATTATTAATAATTATTGTTGCCACACTTTAGAGACCAAACAGCTGATTGACTCGTCCAGAAAACAACGTGAGATGAACCAACGGTGACAGCCGTCGGTTGCAGCCTCAGACGGTAAAAGCTACACACGAGTCAGAACCTCATCTGTCTGCAGCCGTGGGCTGAACCAGCCTCCGACCGGCGTCAGTGTTTCCGAGCTGCTGAGGAGACGCAGCGTTCGTACCGAGGAGGAGGAACTTCCTGCTGTCCCCGTACAGCTGGCGCAGGTTGATGCAGAACTCGTGGATGGAGGCTCCGTTACGGTACTCGTGCAGCAAAGTGGCAAACTGCTGGATCTCCTGCGACGACAGCTTGGTCCGCAGCTGGAGGGATGTAAGAGCAGCAGAGTGAGCACAGCGCGGTGGATGGTGGCGGCATTACACAGCGTCTGCTGACAACACACCGTGGTCATGTAGTCCTGCAGCAGCTCGGCAGCAGTCGTGCTCAGCTCGCCCTCGCTGGCTGTCTTGGCCTGAGGTGATGCTGGGCTGGAGGCTGATGGAGAGCTTCCTTCGGTCTCCATGGTGACCTGGAAAGGACTGACAGAGACTGGACTGTAAACACAGAACCGAACCAGCCAGACCGGACCTTTAACTGAAACCTCTGCGGTGAACTTACAACGTGCTGCCTTCTGCCTCAAACGCCTCCTTGACGTCCACTTTACTGGACGAGTCATCTTCAGGACAAAGGAAAGGTTCATGAATGTTAAACTTGTGCACAGTCAGAACTCAGAGACTGTCCTGCTTTCATTCAGCAGGAGCCGGATCCAGTTCTCACTGATGTGATCTGCTGAGTCCAGGCCTCTGAACATGTTCCTGATAAACACACTTCATGTAAAGTAAACTTATTGAAATGCATCCAGTGTCTAAACCTCTTCAGTGCATTAACATCAAACTGCCTCCTGAATGCGATGTGCATCAGAACTCCATCACTGGTTCTGATCATCAGAACTCCATCACTGGTTCTGATCAGCGACGTCTGGTTCATCACAGCAGGAAACTGAGTCAGTCGCTGTTCGCTGGAAGTGCTGCAGATCAGCACTAGAAACCTACCATGACCCTGCTATCACTGGCTGATAAGGACCTCCAGGTGTTTGTCTGTGACTCTACCTGAGTGACCTCACCGGGTCCAGGTTAGTTTACAGCTCCTTAAACTGCAGATGTTACTATTATCTCTAAAAAAAATCCCAGCGTTGATATGAAAAGTGAAATGAAAGAACGTCCAAGCTGCAGATATGTTATGAGCCACACACTGAGCCTCGACAGAAACTAACGATCAGCTTCTGATCAATAAAGCTGATCAGAAACATCCTGACAAAACACAGAACTACAATAAGGACTCGAGTCTCTTTCAGTAAACATGATAAACCAGATGTGACATGAGATGTGGAGCTGGTGTCTCACCGCTGTACAGAGACAGGTGTCTGGTGGGCGTCGTGGCTCCGTCAAAGATCGCTCTGTCCAGGAAGTCGATGGTAGATTCGGTGTAGACGATCTGAAACACCTGGCTGAGCAGGAGACACAGCTCCTCCGCTGCGGCCTGCAACACACACACACCTGTCCAGGTAACAGCTCGGCCCATCACCTGTATCAGTGCTAGAGATGAAGGCTGTGACCTCACGGCGCTGTCGGAGCGGTTCAACCAGGTCCAATCCTTTCCTGTTATTCTAAACATGCTGACTTACAGAAAACTAACATCAGTAACGAATATGACACGTGATTGGGGATTTTTCTCTTTGAAGCACAACAGCAGCATCAATCAGCATCACTCTGATACTCACTGGTTCATGTTCATAGAGCTCATGTTGAAGGTGCATCCAGGGTCTCCCTGTTAACAAGTCATTCATTCTGTGCTCAAACCAAAGCCATGATCTCTGAGACCTGCATCATTTCACTAAATCCACCACAGACCAGAAGAGTACTCCTTATTTTCTTTATCAGAAAGATATGATTCGATAGTTCAGCTCCAGTCGCTGAGCAGAACTTTACCTTGTTATCGACAGCCAGCACCAGCAGACAGCAGACCTCCACCAGAACCGCTCCGCTCTCCGACAGCGAGCTCAGCGTCTGGGATTTGTTCAGGTCAGGACACGAGCTGGGACACGGAGAACCGCCCGACTCCTGGGCTGCAAACAAGGACAGAACCAGGTCGTTTCTGAAACACGTTCACACTGAGCTGATTCAGTCTGTCAGCAGTTAAACACGTCTGTAGTCCACGGAAACCTGCCGGCTGCTCGTCCTCCTGCAGCAGCATGTGGAGGAAAACTCAGGAAAAGTTTCTGATGCTTCAGTTAAAACCCAAAGTTCAGAGGAAGGATGTCAGCAGCAGGACAGTGAGGCCCTGTTTGTGTAATTCCTCTGACAGCCAGCAGGGGGAGACAGATGCAGGTTCAAACACTCACTGTACTCAACAGGTGCTTCATTCATACACACACATAAATACATAAATACATAAATAGAGCACCTGGAGCGCTGCTAGCATACGGACGGTGTATGTGCAGATGAGCGACACATCAACAACCCCTTCAAGCGTCGACAGCGTCCCTCCGTGTCTGTACCTGTCTTTATGACCACCAGGTGCAGGGAGTCGTCCCTGATGTAGGACACAGCAGCGATGTCGTGGATGGGGACTCTCAGGATGATGTCTTCTCCATCGCGCCACACCAGCTTGATGTTGTAGGCCGATAAACTCACCACGGCATCCTGCTCCGCCGTCAGCTGGCCCGCCAACTGATGGGACTTCTGACCAACAGAGTAACACAGCTTCTTACTCACCAGCAACACCTCCAGGCTTCACAGCAGCTAGTCTGCTCTGTACGTTGGTGTCAGTGCTGCAGAAACAACCGTCAGCGTTCACATTCTCACCCTCGCATTGTCGATGAGCTGCAGCACCTCCGTCCTGCTCGATGGGTTCAAGTATCCCGGAACTGAAGTCAGCTGCCCCAAATACTGCACACAACACGAAACGCTGTATCAAGAGTGGCACCAGAACCACAGCAAACAGAACCTGGTGGGGATCTTTGTAACACTGAGAGTGGATGAGTTGTAGGACCTGCTGCAGCTCATCTGCGGTTCGTCTAAACTGAACCCACCACTCACTTTGACCTCCTTCTCGATGTAGTCGTTCAGCAGGATGTCGGGGTCGATGCGGTGGTCGGGCTGCGACAGGGAGAAGGTGTGCAGCGCTCTGCGCTCGGTGGCCTTCTCCTGGGCCTTCTTATCGCGACCCTTCTCTCCTTTCAGGAACACTCGCTTGAATGGAGACACGATGCCAGGCTGCAGGACACACACAGACACACCGACGCTTTGACTGAGCTGGACTCTAAACCATGAAGCAGCTTTGGTTCTGTGGCACTGGACCAGATCCATGTCTGTTCTGCTTCCCTTCACAGTGCTGGGATGTGGAGCAGTGAGAGTGCCAAATTACAAAAACAAATCAATAAAAGAATTTTACAAAATAAAAGTGGAAATAAAAAGAATAAATACAATAATTTAATATTATTTTTAAAATTTATTTTTTGTCATTTTTAATTTTTTAAATTATTTTTTAAAGTTTTTTTTTTAGTATTTTTGTTTTATCTTTTTTTTTTTTTTTACTTTTAAAGCGACTTCTTCTTTCTGCTTTTAAAGCGACATTTAAAAGGAAAAAGAAAAAGGTGTGCAGGCGCAGAAGCAAGAGGACGCCGGTACGGACTCGCCTCCTTCAGGACTGACAAACGGCCTCAGTGTGGACTTGGGACAGCAAACACCTCAGAATGCATTTCACACCACCAGCGAGAAAACTTTCAGCAGTAACACAAGTTGTTTTGTTCCTGCTGCTGTTATTGTGACACATCATGTAGTTTAAAGATTATTTTAGGTCACAAAGCAGTGGTACAAACATCAAATATGCCGTCAATGGATCGAGATAAAGCCCGCTTAACATTTAGCTCCGACGATGTCGGAGATGTGAGCGTCCCAGTTTGACCGCTGTGACGGCGGCCAGCGCTCCCAGTCGCCGCCGAGAGCAGCCTGATGTCGGCCAGACTCTCTGAAGGCTCTGACGGCTCCGTATTATTCCTCCTGCGCACCTTTTTCTGCACATCTTTCCTTTGCTTTTAAATGTTGCTTTAAATTAAATGTCGCTTTAAAAAAGAAAAAAAGAAAAAAAAAGTAATAGAAAAAAATAACATTTAAAAAACAAAAGGATAAAAAACAAACACAGAAAATAAATGACTGTTGTATTTATTCTTCTTTTTATTGGTTTATCGATGCATTGTTGTAACTTGGGCTCTCACTACTCCGTACTGGAAGCTGCAGAGGAAAACCTGCGAGTTGCTCAATACCTGTTGCTCAAGCATCAACTCCAGCATGTGCAACTCTGCATTGAGCAATAATGGACGTACAGCAACCAGAACCACACGAACATCTGAACCAGGAGCAGGAAAGTCTGAGCACGCTGCCGCTGCACACACAGAACTGCTCGTTGTCCTGTCTCAGGATGTAATTATGCATAACAGAGCTGCACAATGGCTGATCATCATATTAGCTTCTTACAATCAAAGAGCATCAACTGATATTAAAAGGCTCCACTGTGCAGAAATGTGCTGCATGTTGCAGCTAATGGACAAACTAGATGAAGAACTCGTCCCTACAAACAGTCAGTCGTGATGTCGAGACAGAACAAGTCAGACTTTGTGCTGCAAACAAACACAACTAACTTACAAGCAGCTGAAAAAACACAAAGTGCAGCTCAATGCTGAGAAGACGGACGTCCCTCCTGTCAGCTCACTGAACCCAGCGTCCGCTCAGAACCACAACCAGCTCTAGAACATGTGACCTCAGTGTTTTCTGTGCTCTCACAGTATTGACACGTTCTGTAGCCGAGTCAGAGGAGGAACAGCTGAGTGCTGCGACATTAAGCTGGTTTAAAGTCATCAGAGTGAACTAACGGTACTAACATTTGGAAGCTTAATTAAGAATACTCTGATGTGAGTTTAGTCGACCATGAGTGAAAGCAGCCCTCGGTTTGTTTAAATGGTAAAGTGCAATAAAAGCATTGGAGATCTAAAACCCAATGACTAATGAGGATAAATAACCCTGACATGTTGTCTATAGTCATGCAGTCCTACTTTGAGCCTCTGTTTGCCTACGAGCAGCTGATGCACTCTTCTAGCTTGTAAAGAGCTTACCTCGGTCTCCATGAGCGCTGAGCCTCCGTCCACCTGCTACCTGCAGCCTGTCACAGCTCAGACTGGCGCAGCGCTCAGGGTGGGACCCCACACACAGGAAGTGACTGACTTTACACTCTACTTTGCTCGCCACAACTTCCTGTGAAGACACGAGCTGCGGTGCTTTTAGACACGACTCTGCAGAAAACAGTCGGCTGCTTTCAAAACCGCCCAACACACGACGACACAGACGACTGTGGTGCTGAGAACTGTCAGCAGCCCGAACTACAGTCAGACAGGACTTAGAACACCTGAACGAGGACAGAATACTGGAGTGGCCGAGAACAAACCTGCACAGAAAATACAAAGTACATTTAAAAGAATGTGCAGCATCCCGTGATGATCTGACATCTCACAACTAGTGATGCACATTTTCTCAGCTGATCAATCAACTATTAACTGATAAAGTGATGAACAGTGGCTGTTTCTATTTCCAACAACAGCTTCTTGGTGTTCATCACAAACCCAGCTCGTGATCGACTCATCCTGGAAATGAACGACAGAATAATGTGCAGATCAGTCTGTCATGTGTCGCCCTATTTAGTGCTCAGTGTAGGTACGCTAACTCTGAGTAGCTTCTACTCAACGCTCTGCACTTTGTTAAAGAATTATTGCACATTAAAATCCTTGTTTGAAAATTCACATCAGAAATGTTCCCAAACTGTTCAGTTGCATTAATTCAACGATAACAATTAGCTGCAACCTTCGTTCTCAATATAAATACATGAACTGTTCATAACGAAGCTGATTCCTCACATTAAACCTGGTGCAGGCAGAGCTGAGCACCTGTTCAGGTGTACCTGACTCTTCATTTACCTGACTTGAGGTTTCACAGCAGCTCGACCTGCAGTAAATGATTAACGAGCCAACTGAAGACGAGCTCATTAACATTTCATGGCTGCTGCTGAAACGTGAGACGAGAGAAGCAGCTGAGCCACCAGACGCTAAACGCTAACCCTAAAGTCTGATCACAGTGAGCACAGCGCAGCGTCGTTGTGTCGCGACGGCTCAAAACAAGCTGGACTTCAAAACTTTCTGACACTGGCTGAGCGGGCGACCCATGAACAGGGCTGGAGCTCCCCGACGCAGCGGCCGTGAGTTCGACTCCCACTCATGACAGCTTGCTGCAGGTCTCTCCCTGTTCTTCTCCCTCCTTTCTCTCACTGTCCTGACTAATAAAGGCAAAAACGCCAGAAAAAATCATCTTAGAAAAACAAAAAACTTTCTCACACTGAAAGAAAAGTCAGAGCAGATCAAAGGAGCCGACAAGTTTGGACCGTAAACACAACCAGATTCAGCAGCAGCATAATCCTACAATAAGCCCGGGTCCAGCAACACACGAACAGGATACTGCAGCTGAAAGGTAAAACACTGATGTAACCTGACAGAAGCTCACCTGTGTCACATAAAGCTGCTCCATGACCTGAACTACACACACCTGATCACCTGTATGAGTGAACACCAGCTGCTTAGAGACCTACAGGTGAAGCTGAAGGAGGTGAAGGCTGCACAGGACAAACTGTCACATGGTCACAACCCTAAACACAAACCCTAA